TGATTAATGGTGATTAATGGTGAGTAATGGTGATTAATGGTGATTAATGGTGATTTTATGGTGATTAATGGTGATTTTATGGTGATTAATGGTGATTTAATGGTGATTAATGGTGATTTTATGGTGATTAATGGTGATTTTATGGTGATTAATGGTGATTAATGGCAATGGTGATTAATGGTGATTAATGGTGATTAATGGTGATTTTATGGTGATTAATGGTGATTAATGGTGATTAATGGTGATTTTATGGTGATTAATGGTGATTAATGGTGATTAATGGTGATTTTATGGTGATTTTATGGTGATTAATGGTGATTAATGGTGATTAATGGTGATTAATGGTGATTAATGGTGATTAATGGTGATTTTTCTGGTGATTCATGGTGGTCAATGATGGCAAATGATGATTAATCATCTGGTTGTGTGGTATACCTACCCCTCTGAAAAATGATGGTTTGTGAGTTCGTCAGTTGGGATGATGTTTCCATTCCCAACTGTTTCTGGAAAGTCATAAGAGCCATGTTCCAGTCACCACCAACACCACCAACCAGATCATGTTGAGTTTAGCTGGGGGAGAAGAAACAATACATTGAAGATTCCTTAGCTGCGGGAATCTTAATGCGTGAACGTCCTCATTGATTTTATGGAAAACGAACGATTTACCCAACGAAGGGAAACCCAGTGGTTTGGCCTCTGGTGAAGGCTGACATGACACGTTTTAAAAAAAAGATGCAACATCGCAATTTTAGTTTAAGTAAGAGAGAACATAGATTTGCAAATGAAGGGATTCTCCCATGGCCAATGTTGGGTTGCCTGAGGGTAGGTGACATGTTGGTGGCAAAATCTATAGTCCCAGCGTGGGTTCTCGGTGGTGCAGCATGACAGCCGACACCCAATGGCGCAGTCATGCGTGGCCCTCAAACTTCACACACCTTGCCCTCCCAACACACCTGACATGTTGATTATACGCGTTGGCCCGTGTCAACCATATCTCCGTACATCGACATTCCTCCCGTGGTCCTTCCATGATGATACAGCATGCTCAATATGGATGTGTCTGGAAACCGGGCATACCCAGACACATGCTGATCATGCTGACTTGATAGTCAACATGATTGTCATGCCAGATGATGTTTTTTTCCGATACTGCAATTATTTAAGACAAACCCAACTATCATATTGCTGACTAAATATCCATGGCATCACGCACATAAATATGTATATATATATATATACATATATCATCATATATCTATAATTATATCTGTATAATTTATATATATATATTATATGTATGTATACATATAGCCACCGCAAAATAGATAGAAATGCTGGAAACCTCGAAATATGAACCATTTCTATCTTCAGACAACCATCCCGGCGGCACACTTTTCGGCATCCACCTCCATTGCCACCAAGGGGCATAGAATCGCTTCACATTCCGCACCTTCACCCCCATGGACTCGCACTCAATGATCTGGCGGCGACTTCAATTGTTTGGCCATACCAAGGTCCGATTTTTTAAAAAAAAAGTGGAAAAAGGCTGGATGATTGTGGTTTTCTAGGTTTCATAAGTTTCATAGATCAATCAAAACAATCAAGCTCCAAACTGAGTGACGTTTACTTAGTGACGTTTTCGGGTGTTTTCTGCTGATGGTTTCGAGGTTTCGGATGTCGCAACGCTGCCGCTTCGCCGCACCTCGTACTTGGGATCCAAGGGATCTGCCGCTTGCCGCATGGCGCGATAGTCGCTGACCGGCACCTGAAAGGTGCCCCAGCCGGGCCCCAACCGGGCTCCCGCAAAATCCAACTTGGAGTCCTTGGAGCATCAGATTCCTAACAGCCAAAATATAACCTATACATCTTCATATATATATATATATGTATATATATATACACAATGTGTGTGTGTATTCATTCATTCATTCATTCATTCATTCTTTCTTTCATTCATTCATTTGTTTGTTTCTTAGTTTGTGAAATGATGTTATACATGTGTGCGGCTGCGTGAATTTGCACGTACACCTAGCCAAACATTCAAACATTACATAGACATATCCAAACGATATATAGATAGATATATATATATATATATATATTATAGATAGATATATATATATATATATCACATATATAGATAATATTGGGAGGATATTTTCAGCCATAGGGCCATAGTATGCGATAGCATGCCATAGCCCAAAACCAGGCGATCGAACCGCGTTGTTCCCACCTCGAAATGACACCACGGTCGTAAAGCTGAGCCATTCAGCGGAATACGCAGCGGCTCCTTTGAGAAATCGTCATGCGGAAAAACAAAAACAACGCATCTGGGCATGGGGAAAAAAACATGGTTCATAATATCCCCCCAATAAGGTCTCCACCCAATAAGGTGTCACCTGGTTATGAAACAAAAAGCTTCGAAAAGGTTCAAAATATCCTAATGCATGGTTTATAAAAAATATTGCGTAGGGAAATTTTGCACATGAAAGGCAAATTCATTGGACAAAATAAATGAAGATGATGCATCTCACTCAAAGTGTGGCCAAATGTTTTGGCCCGGACACCCCAAGAATTTGCTGCCCTGGTTGACTTTAACCTCTCTAATCCATTCAGAAGTTCCAGTCCTGCAATGGCATGCGGCTGTCCTTAGAACATGTACGTGCCCGAGAGGTCGAAGGAGTGCTATACTGTACCACTTTATAAGCCAGAGAGTTGAGAAATGGCCATTGACAGTATGTCAGTATGTTCCTATGATATATCATATCCATCTATGGATTATATAGAAATATATCACCGTATATTCCAATGATATCTTGGCCAAATCCCCACACACCTCATTAAATCCCCTTATGGAAACCCCTCCCCCCCCAAAAAAAAGTTGTGAACCTGGAAATTCTGGATTTTTGGGGCTTACCATAAATCACTCAAATTTAATGGAAATCGTGAAATCCCCATCGCCTAAAAAATTCCCGGAAAAACCAAGCACCTAAATTAGCCATTTGGAATACCCTCCGGTAAACTCATATAGCGAACTGGAAAATCACCATTTTTGATGCCTAAATCAACTATTTCGATGGCAATTTTCAATAGCTATGTACCAAATTACCAGTGGGTATGGCCATGGTCAACCCACATCTCACCATCCCTTCTCCCA